ACTGGAGGGAATGGATCAATGTTTCTCTGTCACATCGATGTTTCTCTCTTTCTCTCTCTCCCTTCCTCTCTCTCGAAAATCAATGAAAACATATCTTCAGGTGAGGATTAGGAAAAAAAACCCCAAACTTTAAAAAACTCTTTGTGCCTGTTGTTCTTTTCCTTGCCTGTGTCTTCTGATTCTTGGTGCAGTCTATGGAAGGTACCAGGTGCCCTGGGCCTCTGATGTTTTTAGTGCTCTCTTGAAAAGAGATTTTGATTTTTCTATTCTTTTCACTTAGTTTATACTAATGAATCAATAGTCAAGTAATTCAGAAAAAGGATTATCAGAGTCTTCCTGTTTTGGTATTAATTTCAGAGAGTTTGTGCTAGAAATTAAAAAGAAAAAAGAGGAAGAAAGAGATTCTAAATTTGGGGCAATACTTCAGTCTAAATGGATGATTTTGGTATGCCAGGAGTCATTCCAGTGAGAGAGAAAATAGAGAAACTGGATTAATAAATGCTTATATCTGATTAAGGAAAAAGGAGGGCAGAGATAAACATGTCCATTAGTTTGTATTTTTATATACATTTTACCATGTATATAAAAATATCATGTTGTACACCTTAAATATATACAATTTTATTAAAATTAAGATTAAAATATTTATAAATGAACAGTCATACAGCATAATCAGAAATAACAGCATCCATTTATGATATTTTTAAAATCATAATAACTCTTGTCCCCCACCACTTCGTGGATGTGTTTTCATTCCTGGCATCATTTTGTGCATGGCTGGTTTGTCTTATGGGACAATCTGTTCTCCCAGTGACCAGCTTTTAGAATAGAATAATTCTAAATTCTTATTTCTGCTAACAGGACCTGAGGTCATTGAAAAGCAACACATTTCATGTTTCCAGCCAGAGACTTCATGATGTGCTTCAGATAGCTTATTAACACAGAGCAAGAACAGTGTCAAAAGTTCATGGCTGGGAGCCGTATTAAAAGGATAAAGGTCAGACTGGAGATAGAGTGTCTAGTGAAGTAGTTCCATAAAAAAGTATATAGTGATTGCAGCCATTGCGGTTATTAGCATCTGTTATTCTGAAAGCTTCTAAATCTCTAAAGGGGCTCAAAAGGAAAAAAAATAATAAAAAGGGTGCATATAAAAGAAATATCTGTTAAGGTGAGTTAATTGACTGATGCTCTCTACTTCACAGAGACCAAATGGGTGGGAAATTATTTATTTTGTGAAGAAATACAACACACTGATTTATTGAATCTGATGATGTCTTTCCCCTGAGAGGTAGTTCAAGTGGTTTTTGCAAAGTGATGGGTGTTACAGACAGGCTCCTGTGCACTGCACCTCTCCCATTGTCGAGGACTAAAGCACTCCTTCCTGCCCCAATGCTGGGAGTGTTGGAGCTGACAGATTAATGAAGATCTACTCCCACCCTGGTGGCAGTTCACGTTATCATCCCCCTTGCCTCAGTGCTTCTGAAGGGCCCTCCCAACTCAAGAGCTCTCTCTGGGATTCGCTGAGGCCTCTGCTGGTACTGCCTCACAGTTTGCCTGCATCATCTTGTCCTTTCACTCTCTCCAAAACCTTCCTGCCCTCAACCATCTCAAAGTTGTTGGCTGCACTGAAAACCCATTTGTATGTATGTAAATGTGGCCTGCTTGAAATGTAAGAAACACTTTAGAAAAACCAAAACAACTAGTCACTCTGGGTTGATAGAGCAAAAATATTGAAACAGGTTAGAAAATAGATGGCAGATCTGAAGCCTAAGCCTGCCAAGAGATGCCACACTTGAGAAATGTATATTTTACTGACCCTTAGTTCCAGCAAATATCCTGGAATGTGCTGACTTATTGTGTATTACTTCTACCCAGGGATTGATGATGAGAGTTTCTAGGACAGACCAGCTGCTGTCAGGGAGGGGCTGTGGAGATCCTTGTGAGAGTGGCCAAGAAGAATGTGCTTCCTCCTCCGAATTTCCCAGTTTCATTATCATCTCTGCTGGGACCTGGGAAATCTGTATTATTCTCTGGGAGCCAGCTGGATAGTTCCTGTTTGATTTAACTGTTTTGATCTCCTTTACCATTCAAAAATCTTTGTATCTTCAACATTGTGTCTCAAACCATCTTTTTGCCAAAATAAGACCTTTTCATTCTGATGGGTATACCACTACCATCCTCATCTCTGACCAAAGCAGAAATTTGGCATTCCTCCAACTATATTATTTTCTATACATATTTCAAGATTTGTTGATTTTATCTCCCAAATGTCTCTATAATTTGTTCCCTTTTTTCATTCCATTTACCTCTTCCCCAGTTCAAGCACAAATTATCTCTTTCTTAAACCATTATAAGTTTTTTCTATTGTCACTTTGCTTCTAGTCTAGAATTGAAATTCCATCCCTAACACCTATTAAATTCCCTGAAGTTATTTGCTCTTTTCTCACGTTCCCTCTTTTTTTTTTTTTTCTATAGACTTCCTTTGGGAGATCTCATCTACTTCTGTGGGTTTGATTAATGTTGATTACCCAAGATACACTGAAGATGCCAGAATATCCATCTGAGACTTTTTTCCTGAGGTTTAGACTTCTATGTCTATCTGCCAATTATTCAAACTCAGCTTGTCAAAAAAATGAATTGACCACTTTCCCCTTCCAGCTTGATTATCCTCTTCTATTTACCATTTCAATGAATTACACCACTTTCTTTCCACTCAGTTGTACAAGTCATAAGCCTAGGTGTGGTCTTCGATCTGTCCATCTCTCTAATTTCAAAGTCACATCAATCATCCCTTACTGTCCTCCTAAACATCTCTTGGTCTTATCTCTTATCATCACCCTGGTTATCACTACCACAATCTTAGCCCAAGTTCTCATATAGAATATTTTTTAACCTGGGTTTCTGCATCAGCCTCTTAACTGGTTTCTTTGGTCTCTATGTTATCCTCCTGTAATCCTTTTTTCATAGGGTAGTGAACATGATCTTTCTAATCTGCAAGTCTGCATTCCTCTGCCTGAAACCCTTCAATGCCTCCCCATTGTTCTTGTACTAAATATCCATAGCTTATAAAAACCCATTATGGTCTGGCCCCTACTTGCCTCTCGAACAATCTTCTCCCCACATACTCCCACTCTCACAATACTTCAGTCATTGGAATTCCCTAGTTCTTTGAATGTACAATGCTTTGTCTTACCTCTGGATCGTTTTGCACCATGCTTCCTCTCCCCAAATACTTGTTCAGTCTCATTTTGCCCTCTCTTTTGCTTTACTACTTACTCTTCAGTCTTCCAATCTTAATTTAACTTTCTCTTCCTCCCAGAAGCCTTCAGTGAGCACCAAGTTTGGGGTAGATATTTCTCATTTTTAGCTCTCTTGACATCCTCTACTACCTTCATGGTACCTCTTATCAACTTCTATTGCAATTGCTTTTTTTATAGTTAGCTCTCTGAAGGCAAGAGCCATATCTGCCTTGGTTATTCTTATATCCCTAATTGTAGGACTGTGCTTGGCACAAAATACATGCTCAAAGAGAATCTGACTTGATTGACGAGTTAATGAATGCCTTGGGATGGGCAGTGCCCTTTACTGAGAATGTCATTCTCCTCACTCTTGCTCACTAGGCAAATTCCTACTAACCATTCAAGCCCCAATATCATGCCTTCTTGACTTCCTAAGGGAATCACAGAACACAGATTTATGTTTCTCATATTGCACTCCTCCCCATCAGCACTTTTTGTCATATGTTTTGCTCATGAGTCTGTTTTTTCACACCAGACTTCAAATTATCTGATGGCAGGGCCTATCTTTAGTGTATGTTAGCACCCATCGCTTGGTATAAAGCATGTTCATACACACTTACTAAAATTATTATTATTACAATTAGAAGTAATTATAATAATAAACCTGGGCCCAATTTTCTTCTGAAGTTGATACACTTGACAAGGTAATTCCAAAAGAAATGCCTCACATGATTTGTTCATGGAAGTATTACTATAATAAGTGTTTATCTTACCATAGGTACTGTTGCTAAGTTACAGGATTTGAGGTTCTCTCATTGCATTGAAATTCATGTCTCACTTATCTTCTTTGCTTAGATGTGTTTAAGGCTCTATCATGTCAAATAATCCATGCCCACACTCACAGTATTCCAAATCAAATTTTAGGAAAAAAAGATTCATAGCATCATAAATCATTTGAACCAGTTTGGAAATCATGTTAACAAAATGAAAGCTCTTTGTATATTTCTAAATATTGTCCACGTTGTTTCTCTTAGCTCTATGTGAAAAGAGGAAGATGTAGACTTTTATAGGTTAACTGTTGAAAGTATCTAGATCAGTCCTTCTAAAAAGAAGGTGATTTTGCCCTCCATGAGATATTTGGCAATGTCTGGAGGCATTTTCAATTGTCACAGGTGTGTGGGAGAGAGCTAATGGCACTTAGTGGGTAGAGGCCAGGGATGCTATTAAAAATTCTACGATGCACAGGGCAGCCTCCCACACCAAAAAATAATCTAAAATATCAATAATACTGAAGTTGAGAAGACCTGATTTATAGGAAATAAAAATCTCATGCTTCATTTAGAAACACTTTTCTATACCAGGATACAACATAAATAATGCTCATGTTACAACTAGAAGACTAGAGTATAGTCCCTTCCACGTGCCTTATTCTTATATTATGATTTCTAACAATGTCTAAAATGGTATTTTAATATCTATCTCATAGGGTTTTTATATTCATTATCATAAATTAAATATGATAATGAATGAAAAAAATCTCAATTCAGTATCTGGTAAGTAGCAGGTTCCTCAATAAATATTTGTGAAAACAAGTCTGTGAACACAAAGGAGATGGAGTCTAGGGTGAAAATAAATATCATTTACCCTGATTGGTTCCTGAGCTCCTCACCTTTTTTAGGATTTGTACATGAGTCACCACTTCTGAGAATAGTTTAGAGAAGAAGAGCATTGACAAAGATTTAGGGAGATGTGCATACATACTTTTTGTTCTTCTCGCTCTACAGCTGCATTGCATTTTTCTATTCCCCAGTTTCTCAAAAAGTCTCTGAGATAGCCAAACAGCGTTCCAATTCCATATCCCATATAAGTGAAAACCATAATGTGAAGAGGTGCTTCCTCAAAGGATTCAATAATTGGCTTATCATAAAGATGTGGCTTTCCATTTTGCTGAAAACACAAAAGAAAATCAAAGGTCAGCACTCTCCCATTATAATAAAGTATGCTACTTAAAATTTTGGACTCTCAACCTTTTGGAAATAGATCACTGAACAGGAAATCAGAAAAGTACATTTTATTCTACAACCCCCTAAAAAATTGATTAATATAAAAATTCTCAACAGATGTTAAATCCATTAAATGAAAAGTTAATGTGGAATCAGGTTTCTACAAGATGATAAAGTATCACCCATAGGTTACTACTTAATCACAAGATTGTGGTTAATACATTAACCAGGTGATAAAATTACATAACAGATGTTGGGACAATTAGCCACTTTGTGCTCTTATTATATTGTAATATTCAATATATCAATGAAACATTTTGGCAGAATTTAGTCAAGTTCCTATCTAATTTCCATTTTGCAAGAACTATCAGGATAGAGAAACACGGTATTGTTTCATGAAGAAACAGTCAGATAATCCACAGTGTGGAATTTTCTATATGAAAATTGGCTTGGTCTTTAAAAGCAAAAATAAGTAAATGGGAGTACCTCAAACTAAAAAGCTTCTACACAGCAAAAAATAAAAAATAAAAAAAATCAAAATTTAAAAGCAATCTGGGAATAGGAGAAAATATTTGCAAATCACATATCTGATAAGGGGTTAATATCCAAAGTATATAAGAAACTCATACAACTCAAAAAATTAAATAACCCAATTAAAAAATGGGCAAAGAATCAGAACAGACGGACATTTTCCCAAAAAAGACATACAAATGGCCAACAGATACATCAAAAGTGCTTAAACATCACTAATCATCAGGGAAATGCAAATCAAAATTGCACTGAATAATGCAATTGTGAATAATGAGATATCACCTCACACCTGTTAGGATAGCTATCATTAAAGAAAAAAGAGATAACAAGTGTGGCAAGGGTGTGGAGAAAAGGGGACCCTTGTGCACTATTGGTGTGAATATAAATTGGTGTAATCATTGTGGAAAAGAGTATGAAGTTGCTTCAAAAAATTAAAAAATAGAAATCCCATTTCTGGGTGTATATCCGTACAACATTAAATAAGTATCTTGAAGAGATATTTGCACTCCAATATTTATTGCAGCACTATTCACAATAACCAAGATACAGAAACAATCTAAGTGTTCATTGATGGATGAAGAAAATGTTATACACAAACACACAAGAATATTATTTGCCCATAAAAAAGAGGAAATCCTGCCATTTTCAACAATATGGATGAACCTAGAGGACATGATAGGATAATGAGACATGGGGGCACAGGAGGAGAGTGAATGTAAGTGACCATAACATAAGGCAAAAAGTAAACATCATAAGAGTGACACAGATGGAAGGACCATATCACACGAGGTGATCAGAACTGGCATCCTTAAAAAAGTGGAATTGGAGCCTAGTCTTGATGGGAGATAGAGCATAAAGATGGAGAGCACTTGCACAGGAGTGAGACAGCCTGGGTTCAAATCCAGGCACTTTCATTTGCTGACTGTATGACGCCTTCAAATGTCTCAAATGTAACATGAAGCTAATAAAGGCTGTTTTGAAAATTAATTGAGTCAATAATATATGCAAAGCACCTTCCACAGAGTAAACACCCATGAAATGTTAACAATTTTCATTGAATCTGAATAGGGGTGATAGATGAAACTGTTAGATGGGATTATGTTGCTTTTAGAGGAATTTTGAAAAGGAAGAGAAAGAATATGTATAGAGCCTTGGCCAATCTTACACACAGAAAGAAATGAGAGAATGAAGGTCCACTAGGAAAGGGCAAATGTGAGAGGTGAGGAAGAAATGGGAGGTTGAAGAGGAAAGAGTGGTGGTGGTTGAGAGAGACCATTGTATATGGGAATTCTCACAAGAAAACCGGACCCCTTCTCCACAACATTCACAAAAATTAACTCAAAATAGATCATAGACCTCAATATCAAAGCTAAAACTAAAATTCTCAGAAGAAAATATAGAAGTGTTCATGACCTTGAGTTAGGCAAAACCTTAGATGTGACACCAAAAACACAAGTGACAAAACAGATAAGTTGCACTTCATCTGATTTAGAAGTTTTGTGATTCAAAGGATACTACTAAGAAAGTGAAAAGACAACTCACATTATCAGAGAAAATGTTTGCAAATCATATTATCTGATAAAAGCTTAGTACCCAGAATATATAATTAACACAGCTCAATAACAAAAAGACGAATAACTCAATTAAAAAGTAGGCAAAGAATCTGAGTAAACATTTGTCCAAAGATACACAGATAGCCAACAAGCACATGAACGCACACACACCAATTATTATTCTTAAAGGTACGTAAAATTTAAAGCAGCTCTTTCTTCAGTAGAATTCTCCATTTTTACTCTAAAATGTTTGAGTTGCCATTTATTTCTTTTCTAAAATACTTTGGAACATCATTAGATACGGCTGAAGTTATCCAAATAAAGTAACAGCAAAGCTCATGAAAGTGAAGTGATACAAGAATGATGACAGTATACAGTTCTTCCTTATTTGGAAGGGTACTAAATGTCTTAAAGCTGGCTGGGTTTTTTTAAATATGAGTATTTTCACCACAGCCTTATGTTATGTATTTAGAAATGCTTTATGAAACATAAATTTCACCCTGTTATAATTAACTTATAGGTAGACCTAGAATATGATGTTGCACATGATATACTCCAGGTGGAAACCTCCTATTATGAGATCTCATGATCAGTCAACTTGTTCAGATTACTGAGATATACTAATACATGAAAACTTCAATTAAATCTTTTTTTTTACATTGCCTTAAAACTCCAGCATTACGCTTACCTAAAAGATTTTTTATTGTTATTTTATTGGTATTTCAACACTAAACTAAGTTTACTGAGTGTCTGTGTTACCAAATGCTCTGCCAGAAGACAGGATATTTTTATAGACAGACTACCAGGCTGACAAATGGTACCAGGGAGATATTTAGGGTACTGTGGGAACTGGAAGGAAGATACATTTAACACTGGCTGGAAGACATAGGAAACTTTCATGAATAAGAAGTCAGTTGACCAAACTCTGGAAGTATGAGGGCTGGAAGGATAAAGACAGTAGGAAGGCATAGGAAGAAAGATCCCCAAGACAGAACTGAGAGTGTCTGGGAAGATGCTCATCAGCCTGAGCCTTTGTAATCACCACCTGGATAGTCTTTTTATTTCATTGTGATTCCCTAAATCTGCAGTTGCTAGAGTGCTCCCTAGAGGTGCTCATCAACAAAAAGCGTTGTGGAAAGGCTACATACCTCTGCAACTCTTGGGTATTCTTCACAGTGTACATAATGTAGAATGTGAGAGCTAGGGGAGATATCTTTCTTGCTCATCACTGAATCCCATTGTAAATACACAGCTTCACATGGTAGGTGCTAAATAAATATTTGCTGATTGATTCAGCTTATTGAATATTATTAAAGTACTGAAGTGAAAATTTACTTAACTTTGGAAAACCCAACACATGTATCAAACGTGTTTATCACCTTTTATATACATTTACCTAATTCATGACAAATCTGTTTGGAAGTGTTGGTTTTCAGCATAAAGTTAAGTTTCTTAGCTTAGTAAACAATGCTGTCTGAAGCCCTCTGATTTCCTGTCTTCTATTTGTTGCTTAAGCAATATAAAACTGCTTTTATTTGATGCCCTAATTTTTATCCTCCTCAAACCTTTTTTCATGTTGCCATTTCTGTAATTTCTTCAGTTTTCACTCCTTTTGCTAACTACCCTCTGCTGCTACCTCTTCTTCTCTACTTCACATATATATATTACTATATTATTTGCCTGCTTAATATCCACTGTTTAAGACCCAACTCTGGCTTTACATTCTAAAAAAATCCAGGCTAGGTGTTCTCATTGCATAACACTATCATTACACTTATCACATTCTACTACAATAATATTTTTAAAAGACAAATCATTTGATAACAAGACAGAAAATAAAGGGTCATTTACAAAAATAACAGCTTTCATTATTTGTCACTCAGGCCTTTCAAATATTTCAAATATTTTAACCCGGCTGTCCAGTGTGGCGAAAACTGGCTATACATCAAACCCATTTTCCTTTTCTCTTTCACTCAGCTGGACTACATTTCCCATAACCCTGGCAGACAAATATGGCCATGTGAGTGAGTTCTACCAATGTGAAAGGGGTAGAAGCAATACATGCCACTTCCACGCCTGGCCCATAAAAGCCTTTCTCGTGATCCATCTCTTTTTCTTTTTCCTCTGTTGCCATCTGAATGCTGATGGCCACGGTAAGCTTAGGAGCCCCATATTAAGGACTGCAGAGTTTTTTGTTAGTCTGCCTCCCGGAATAACTGTGTGGAGCAGAGTCCTTAACACCTCCCTCTTCTATTCTCTATCACTGCCAATTAGACTTAATAAAAGTGAGAAATGAACTTCTCTTTGGTTTCTTTTTTATTATGACATCAATTATTACCTTAATGAATACATACTACAGGAATTTTGTTAAAATACTTTTACTTCTAACCCTTGCTTAGAAGCATTTGAAAGAAGTTTGAGAAACTTTTTACCTTCCCAAGGAACTGTGTACCAAGGTATGTCTGGGCCGACCAAAATTCGAATTTCTATCTGGGGAAGTTTACACCAGAAATTTAACTGATTAAAAGTTTCAGTTCTTGATTTATCAAGCCATTATGCATGTTAGGTAGTGCATGATGAAAAAAAGATATATATTACAAGATTTAGGCTTTAGTGACTGCAAAAGGCAGAGAGAGAAAGACATACTATAAACATGGAACTGTAGGTGGGGCCAGTTCTTTAAATATTAGTTACTCCAACCCTTTTTTTCCCCATTGGTAAACAAGTTCAGTTGTTGAGAGGCTGAGCTGGCTCCAGTTGTCTTGAATCTCTTCATCCCCTGAAAAGTTAGCTAGTAAATCATAGCAGCACATGAAGAGAGCCACAGCCTTCCACAGGACACACCTAGATTGAGAAGTGA